TTCACAAACTGTGAGCAGGCCAGCAGCAGAAAGTACAGGTTGAAGAAGTATTTGAACTGGTTAAACAACACCTGTAAACACAAACCCACGATATGACATTATTTTATATCTCAGTTTGAACAAAACTTGGTAAAAATAATTGTACTATGATACACTACCATTCAAAGGTTTGGTGTTGGCTAGATTTTATAATGTTTTTGAAAGAAGTATTTTATGCTCACCAAGGTTGCATTTATTTGATCAAAAAATACAGTAAAAACAGTAATATTGCAAAATATTATTACAATTCAAAATAACCGTTTTGTTCTAATATATTGTAAAATATAATTTATTCCTGTGATGCAAAGCTGAATTTTTTTTAGCAACATTACTCCAGTCTTCAGTGGGACACAATCCTTCAGAAATCATTCTAATATGCTCAATATTTCCTTTTATTATCAATATTGAAAAGAGCTGTGATGCTTAATTTTATATAAAAACCGTAATACATTTTTTCAGGATTCTTTGATGAACACAAAGTTCAAATGAACAGTGTTTATATGAAATAACTTTTTTATGTTTAAAAAAATAATTATAAATTATATTATAAATGCCTTTACTGTCACTTTTGATCAATTAAATGTGTCCTTACCGCGTAAAAGTGTTTATTTCTATTAAAAATAATAATAATCTTACTGACCCCAAACTTAATTTGAACCGTATTATATATCATATTTATATATCATGCTATTACCATAATACATGTCCAAAAAAGCATGGTACTACTATAGCACGTTTTTGTTAGTGATATTAAATGTCTTCTTGAAATGTTTTCAGATTCATTTCAACGTATTTCCATCCACTATGAAACACATATTGGCTCACGTAGCAACCACTGTTCATCTAGAACTGCATTTGTTTTGACGATGCCAAACAGAGCTTAAAGTGTTTACACTAAACCACCTCGCTGTTTGTTTTTCGCTATATGCCAGAGTTCTGGGTACTCATTTACAAAACATTCAGAATTGAACGCCGATCATCATTTGTCCTTCAAATCATTCAAAATAACCAGAAGGCATTTGCAATGCAAAAATATTTTTTTCCATACAGCAATCTGGTCAAGGTTGTTTTTAAAGGGGTCATACGATGCGATTTCAAGTTTTCCTTTCTCTTTGGAGTGTTACAAGCTGTTCGTGAATAGATAAGATCCCTAAAGTTGCAAAGACTAAAGTCTCAAACCCAAAGAGATATTCTTTATAAAAGTTAAGACTTGTCCACGCCCTCCTAAAACGCCTCGTTTAAACACGCCCCACATATCTACCTCACTATGTGGAAATATTTACATAATGCGCCCAAATGTGCACGCAAAGAAAGAAGGCGTAACTTTATTCTCGCTGT